ACAAGAAAGGTAATCTTTTTTTTTTTAATTGTCTGATTTATGAGGTAAGCACATTGAGATTTAAATACATATTCAGCAAAGAATAATTTTTATTTTACCCTTTAAGGCTGTCTTGAAGTGAGAACATGGCAACTGTTTTTGAAAAGTAAGTATTTAGGGCCAAGTCTGTTTGGACATACACTACCGTTCAAAAGTTTGGGGTCGATAAGAAGCTGCATCACTGAGGCTGCATATATTAAAAATATAGTAAAAAAACTCATATTGTAAAATATTACAATTTAAAATGACAAAGCTGAATTTTCAGCAGCCATTACTCCTGTCTTCCGTGTCATATGACCCTTCAGAAATCATTCTAATATATTGATTTGGTGATACAGAAAAATACAAATTTCTGTCTATATCTATCTGTCTATCCATCCATCTATCTTACTGACCCCAACCCTTTGTAGGGTAGTATAGATTGAGATTTGCAGTCGACAAGTCAGTGTTGAAATTGCGCACCAGGAGGCAGTCATGAGCTTTGCTACTAGAAATCATTAAAGAAATGAACGCTATTGCCTTCTCACCATCTCTGTTCTGTGGTCATAACATTGGAATAACAATACATACACATAGAATAGAACAGAAAAAAAGCATAATATCAAATATATTGCTGCTAGCATTTCATACTAGGATTATTAACTCTCCATTTCCATCCCACAGTCACAAGCCCATTCCACATCTGTATGATCAACAACATATGCTTATGTTTAATCCATGGCAGTGCTTTAATAGCTATACCTATATATAACTGTCCTTTCAAAACCTAAAAAGGCATTTTTATTAAGATGAAACCCAGGTGGTCTAGTGGACACTACAAGTGTCTTGACTGATGCAGGTGGGCTCAGTGTTGGTGGTCTGAGTTTCATGAAATCATGGACTGAGTTTATTTAATGGGCCGCACAGAGAGGGGAGGAGCAACAGAGCAGTCCCTGGACTGCTTTGAGTAGTCAGAAGTAACCATAGAAACACCATGCTTTTTGGAAAGAAGACAGACTCCTGTTTTGTCTGTGGTCACTGATGTTTAAAGTCTTAACACCATTATTATCTCCAGAACTATGAACTAATTGTGACTGAATATGGAATGATAATATCATGTGACTACAAAATACTTGAGCATTTCTTGAGTGAGAGAGAAATGTGTTTGATTATTAATATCAAGAACATAACCCAGTATAGATGCACACTGTGTGTAAATAATGTGTCTTCATCCAAAACACTGTTCCATTTAAGATTTGATTTATTGCAGGGGGGGACGAAAAGGATCCCAGCTCCCAGAGGGCCAGGAGAAACTCTGATGTTGTTGAACAATTCTTGCTGAGATGTAGTGTTCTTTCATGCAGTTCCAATACACAGCACAGCAAGTATAGGTGTAAAATTACACTTAAGGTTAACATAGAGATCCAAGCCATTTATCTAGTGGACCATGAGGAGGTCGCTTTCCTTCAGTGACATTATTGCACAGATGAGTAATTTATTAAAATGTCATGCCATTTACAATTTGGCCCCCTTTTTGGGGAACCTAACCCTAAAACAACTCTGAAATCCTTCTGTCAGCAAAACTGTGCAAAGATCATGTTTACCAGTATTATTATATACGGTGGAAGGCAATAATAGGCTAAGGCATTGTTTAACGCCTTCAGCGAAGATGAATTGAGCCACTTTAAAGATTATGCTGTGTGTTTCAGAGAAAGAGAACGCAGATGCTGACATTTTGAGTGCAGGGCATTTTAGGTAATTTAGAAATCCCGACAAGGATATGTCTGGGAAAAAGAGGATGTATGCTCACCCTAGCTGTATGCAAGTTTTTTTTTTACTTTGAAATATCAAAATCATTTTTAAAGTCATTCTGATGGTACCACTGACTTCTAAAAAGGAGAATGGTTTCTTTTTTGTCCCACGAAATTCCGTCTCCAAAATCGCAAAAATACACAAAACTATACAGTTGCTTTAAATCAGTATTAGGCTACATGCTATGTTTATTTATTCGATGAGCAAACGGGTTAGTCTAATAGTCAGCTGGTCATTACTGATATAGTCAATGAGATATGACAGCTTCCCTATAACCATGTTAGTATATATGTCCATATGTCTCCAGTTACCTCTGAAAAAAACTGCCACCTTGAATCAGCAAAGCCAAAAATGAGACCAAGGTGAAAAGACACATCAGTATCACTAAAAATCACTAAAGGGAAATGTAGAAGTGACTTGCCATGCAAGGTAATGAAATCTGGGACTTTTCAGACTCTCATTGCAGATGAAAGAATGAAATGAAGCAGGGTAAGTGTAGGATTTGCCTTCACTGCAGCATATCAGTGGCAGAAGTGACACTACGCTGCAGTGCTGGGAAATGCTGAGAGCAGGGAAAAACCGCACCCTGTCCTGGTCCATGTGGTACAACCTCACCTCTAAACATTGATGTTTCTTTCTTAGTACATCTATCTATCTATTGTTTGTTTGTTTATTTATTTATATAGCACCTTACAGGCTACACAGTAGTTCCAAGGTGCTGTACATTACAATGGAAAGCAAAAAAAGCAAAACAACAACAACAAGACAATAATATAAAAACATCCATATACTAAAATGCCAGGGAGTACAAATATGATCTCAAACGATCCTTAAAAACATTTAAAGTTAAGGAAGATCTAACATCAAGTGGCAGATTGTTCCACAGTCTTGGACCAGCGATGGAGAAAGCACAATCACCCTTCAATTTGAGACGTGCACGAGGGAGAGTTAGGAGAAACGTATTTGATGATCTTAGTATTACGCTTGGACTGTGGGGCTTAATAAGCTCAACTAGATATTCTGGCGCCATTCCATGAAGAGCTTTAAAAACATATATCAAAATCTTATATTGTATCCTAAATTGTACTGGTAACCATCCTAAAAAAGACAATAAGGGAGTAACATGATCTGATTTCCTAGCATTCATTAACAACCTTGCAGCAGCATTTTGTACTAACTGCAAGCGAGCAACATGTTTATGACAAGTCCCAACATAAAGAGCACTACAATAGTCTAGACGGGAAAAAATATATGCATGGACAACTTTTTCCATGTCCCTGGCTGGAAGAATTTGTTTCAATTTGGCTATTGCCCTTAGATAGAAGAAGCAATTACGAACCACCGTCTTTATTTGTCGATCAAATATGAGAGATGAGTCAAAAATGACTCCCAAGTTCTTTACTTGATCCTGCAGGTACACCTTCCATGGGCCCAAGTTATCATTTACCATCTGGCTACCAGCTGTGTGACCAAAAATAATAACTTCTGTTTTATTTTCATCTGTTTTATCGATCTATCTATCTATCTATCTATCTATCTATCATGAAAAAAGTCTCTTTAATTTCTTCAAAATTGTGCATATGCTTTTTTCATTAAAGAGGCCTTTTTAATGGAAAAAAAAATCACTTTTGTTGAATTTGCATGAATTTGCACAACGGCACAAAGTTACTTTGCATAGGCCTACAATTGTCTGTCAAATGCATGAATGTCAGTGTTCTGCTCTGATATTTATGTGTTATATATAAATATATTTATAATTGGAATTTTGTGTTCTGTGACAGACATGTATAAAAAAAAAAGCCGTATCCCTATCTTTAATAGAGACGTATGTTCTATGTCAAGTATGTTGAGGTTTGCATTGCTTGCCTGCAGCTTATGTTCTTTCATATGAATCAGGTGTCACCCATATTCATACATAGGCCTATGTATGTATGAAACTACAGCAAGTGACAACTATAGCCATGGTCAAAAATGACCACTTGAAACCCCCGGTGGGGCTTTCAGGATTGAGTTACACTATATGCTGACATATTCACACACAGCTAAACGACGTCATGTGTGTTCTGTCAATTGTCCTGTCAGTCAGTGCTTTGTATGTCACATCGTTTTGGTGTCAGTATCAGGGTGCATGTTTCTATCTGAGCACTTTAAGTTTCGGTGAAATAAAACATTTTAGTGTTGGCTAGATATTAGGCCTTGTCACTGGGGAAAATGCCATTTAAATTTTTATTTAGAAATAACTATTTATTCATTTGAACAAATTAATTTATGACCGAATTAGTTAAATGAATAATTCAGTGATTCCCTCACAAAGACAGTGGCTATTACAATTCCTGCAATATAAAACATTGTAGAAATAGTATGAGTATGGTAGTGTCCAGTGCTGAATTCACTTGCTGAATTCACTGAATTCACAAGTCACTTGTTTCCTTAATGAATGTGAAGCAGTTTTTTCAACAAATAGGCTAGGCTGAGTGAATGATCCAATGATCCACAAGGCCAGTCCCTTGTTTCATTTTCAAATGAATCAGCGTTTTGAAGGAATCCTTGAATAAATGAGCAATGAAAGCACTCATAATGATTATATGGATGTAAACTGCATAAAGATCCCCACCTACTGACAGTCTGTTCATTTTTCTCCAACAACTTGTAAATAAATAAATTGTTTGAGATATTTAGATTCACCTAATTTATTTAGGTCTCGGTATAAGACTAGATCTCATACAACTTAAATATATAAATATAAATAGAAAGATTACTATATTATTTGCTATTTTTATAATTTTATAAATGTTTTTATTATTTTACAAAATAGTACTGACAACATGTATAGGGAGGGACACCTATATTTAAAAATGAGAAAATCCAATGAAATGTTAAATTTGTCTTAAGAACATACTATTATTAATCATCCTGCGTTATAAGTGAAATTGGTTCTGTTTTAAAAAACGCATGGCAGGTAAAAGTGTGGAGCATGTTTATTTTCCCATGGTTATTTTCTGTTCTAAGTGATGATGGGTTAACTGAGATCTCGAATGATCCTATAATGTAACGATAACAGAATTTAAATGGGTCTTATGATGTTGCTAAAAAGAACATTATTTTGTGTATTTGGTGTAATGAAATGTGTTTATGCGGTTTAAGGTTCAAAAAACACATTATTTTCTCTCTCTCTCTCTATACAGGGAAGACGCATCCTGTAATCAGGTCACACTTCACTGTAGTCTCAGCATCCGTCTCTCGCCCTTTAAAGCAGAAGAATCGAGACTTCAGACAAGCGGAATAATGGTGTGGATGAATGATCTGGGATGTCTTCTCGTCCCGTTGCTGATGCTCGTACGGGTTTCCGTGCAGGTGGACGTTAAGAGCGGGAAAGAACCGGAGAAGACGGAGAATTTCATGGAAGATGAACAGTGGCTGTCCACCATTTCCCAGTACAGTCGCAAGATCAAGCACTGGAACCGCTTCAGAGATGTGAGTTATCTTTGAGACGACGAATGATGACATTACATGACTCTATCTGATTTAGCTCGTATCAATATTGTTAGGAAGTGTTAGGAATGGTTATGCTGGACAGTGTTATTCCTAAAATACCATTAGTGTTCTTAGAAATCAATCTTCCTTTTGAAAGCAGTTGCATGTAAGATAATTAATAGCTCTTGAGATAGAATAGGTTGAACTGTTGAGTTCATGCTGTAAACGTACTAGAATGCTTTAAATTTATACAAATATCTGTAAAAGACTTTAGAAAAAAATCTTTGGATGTATCTTTCAAAGGTGCTCAAATGCTCTGAAGATGCTCAGATCTTCAGTCAAACCCTAAATACAGCCTACTTGGTAACAATGTACCATCTGTTGTTTGTTTAACTGACAATAGGTTTGATTACAGAATTAAGCAGCTTGCATTAGAGTGTCATTCATTGCCCAGCTGGTTGATGTGATGTAATAATAGGCAACATTAATAATTGATTAGGACTTGTACATGTATTCAGAGGGAGATTTATGGATCGATTTATCTCCCAAAGGTCATGTTGTAGCATGTGTCCTTGTACAGGTATGTTATTTGATCCTTTATTTAATGGTATTTCTTTATGAATATGCATAAAATCATCCCTGGCATTGTAAGGAAAAATATCCTTTGTGGGTCAAAAACCAATAATTATAATGAATATGCAACACAATCAAAATTATGTATGGTGAGGATTAACATTAAGACTTAATGTTTATTTATAGTTTGCAGGTGACCTACTGTTCTTGAAAACTAAAAAGGTCCTTGGTTGTTTTCTGTTGAGTTTTGCTGCTCCAAATGAAACATTAAACCATCCAATAGAAACTGTGATTTATCTCCATTGGTGTTTGGCCGGTAGCTATTTTTACCCTTCTAGAACTGGATTAAGTGTATAACTCCTTAAATGATTACGGTGAAAAAACATATCTAAGAGAACCCTGAATTTATCAAAATGTGGGAATGAAAATATTAAGTGTGAATTAGATCGGGATTATAAATAAATGGACACAGCATTTCTACATCAGTGGCTTACATTCAAACTCGGCCCTGCAGCAGACTCGATATTCTCCGATCAATGGCTATTGATCACACCATATGAATAGCAGAGGAGCGATGCTTGTCCAACACATGCGGGTGTTTTGATGGAAGAAAAGGAAACCAAAACAACTTTGAGAAAAAAAAGTCTCAGCCCTTTCACTGCCTCTGACTCAACCATCTAATTAAAATACAGGTTGTTCTTGCTGCTGTTTCTTGAACTGTATTTGAGGTGACACACTTCAGTAGGACTGAATAGCACTGGCCCATGACATGCTGTCTGTTTTGTTTGGGTTGTCATGTCATTGCACAGATGGGAAGTCCCTTATTGTGAATGATTAATACAAAATAGTATTTTTTTTAAAAAAGTTTTTCTTTTAACATGCAACATGTGCAGGATATGACGGAAGTAGGACCCCTTGAACAAGAAGATACACCAAAAAAGTAAACAGGGCTCCCAACAAAACTAATGAAATGCTAGAATTTTAATTATAACTAGCTGCCATAGATATTATTTCATTTTACTGCCAAAGGAGTAACTTTTTAGCTTGATATATGCCCATCCACACACTTCATGGATTCACATAATTTGCATCATATTTGGATATTGATTTTAATGCACTCACACAGACTATCTCAACTCTGGCTACTGTCAAAACAAAACAAAAATCATTAGAATCAATAATAAAATACATTTGTAAGTGGTTTCATATCACGGTAAACCAATGTATTTATTATTCTGAGATTGCAAGGACTATGAGACATCAACAGACCCTCTGACACAGTTCGGTACCTTTTTAACAGTCACCTGTTATCTTTGATCAGAGACAGAGATGGAACTGATTTAGACTCTGAAAATTAATCTCTCTCTGAACACGGCTTATTTAATCTTTAAAGTGTTGCTTGTAACAAAGGCAAATAATCCAAATTGATGTTGGCTTTTAAATTCCTCAGAGGTTCTCAGAGCAGAATAATGATATAACTCAAGCGAACACTGATGAAAGCAGCAGAACATGAAAGGCTCATGAGCACACGCTGATGCATATATGGAAGCGTGTAATTTGACATTAATATTTTATATTCATTGTGCATTCCATTCTTGGTTGATTCTAACATTTTTTTTTTTTAGATACAGTATGAGACCAATGTAATGAGACTGATGTTGAAGTTTACTTGAGAACTCTTCAGGAGGTGTCCTCTCTCTTCTGAGCTCTGATTACTTTTTATTTCATTATAAATAGAAATATTTAAATAAAAT